ACACACACACACACACACACGCGCGCGCGCACGCACACACACATGCATACAAAATAATATGCACAGCAAATTTATAATCACGTTATCGAAGCGCTCAAATAATTTCATTATTATAAACAGGTAAACCAGTCGGTAGATTGGGCTATGCTGGCTAGCAAAGGCATCCTCTGTTTCTTGCCGCAATATCTCAGCGATTATTTAACCACAGTGACGCCGCTCAATCCACGAGACTGTGTACTCCCAGAATTTAAGAAATATCTGGCGCTACTGCCCAAGTAGCAAGATTGAGGACAAAATTATAATTAAATTTGCAAACAAGCATATGTCATTGGTTCGTGAGGTACATACATTCAATACTGTACATAGCAAATTCGTTCATTAAAATACGTACAATAGTGATACATACAATAGTGTACATAGTAAATTCATAATTACATTATTGAAGAGAGAGAGCTGAAATAAAAATTTTTTTTACAGAAAACAGTCAATTAACTTATCGAAATTTAGTTATGTGTGTGTGTGTATGTATATATATATATATAAAACAAATTTTGTTAATATTTTATGTCAAAATTTGCATAATTTTATAAAGAGGATATTTTGATAGATGTGTTGTAAAAGGGAAGTTTTTTCGATTAATGTTTTTTAGACATAATAGTTTAAAATTTTTATTTTCTAGAAAGTATAGCCACATAGATATTCGATAGAATTATAACGAATACAATTGTATAATATTAATACACTTAATATAATTATTATAAATTATAGAAGATGATTGTACATATAAGAAATTTGCTAATAATTACAGCGATTATACTTTCATCATAGAGAGCTATTCATGCCCTACTAACATATTCATTAATCAAAATAATTTCTAATGCTTTCATATACATATTCTAAAATGATAAAAACAAAAATTGCAATAATTATATACCTATTGTTGCATCATATCTTCTTGAAATTCAGCAAGAATCCTGCTGGTGGCGAGATAAATACATTTCGCGGATCGATGGGGTTCTTCCATGAAGGATGCAATGCAACTTCATAATCACGTAAAATCGTTATCAGTCCCACAGTGGTTTGTAAAATTCCCAGCCGCATACCTAATATTTAAGTGGAATTAAATCAGAGAAAATCAAGGAAGAATTTGGTTATATAAACGGATAAACATTTTTTTTTCTTGTATTTATACTATACTATACTTATACTAAAATAAAATACATGCGCGCGCGTATGATTAAAATTATTTATTTATAACTTTTAAATATTAGTGAATACTTTCTCAAGTAGTATTAAAATCCTGAAAAAGATTTGTGGTATTTGAAAAGCATTAAATAAGTATATTGTTTTAATCGCACAATTCTGTTCTGCAAAACAAAGTAAATCTTATCGCGAAAGAAAGTTTATCGCGTAATAAATGTCAAGGAATGATAAATGTTGCTTTTTCCAGCAAATTCTATTTTTTTATATTCCATTTTACATCCGTTTATGTGAACGAGTTCAATTTACGAACCTATACAATTCCGTGGACCCTCTCCGAAGGGCAGGAAAGTGCAGGGTACAATCTCGTTTTTTCTCTCGTCACTGAATCGCTCAGGATCGAAACGCATAGGATCCCGGTAGTATCTTGGGTCTGTTTGAATACCACGTAATACGACGTATACCGGTATATCTTTCTTGACAGTTATTTTTGTGCCAGGAAACTACAATTTATTCTTATGATTATAATTCATAGTTTAATTCGAGATATTTCCAAGACGTCTCTATTGATATCAAATTGATTAAAAAATCGTTTTACTGAAAAATTTTTTGTTGCTGAAAATAATTTCTGAAATATAATGTATACTATGTCTCACTGTGTAATCGCTAAGAGGAACTCTGTCTATGATCGGCGCGGGCGGATAAAATCTTAGCGTTTCATTTATCACTTGATGCAGATACTTCATATTGTGGACTGATTCATATGTCATATCATTAGCGTCCTGGATTGTTTTGAGGATTTCCTCCCTCACGCGTCTCTGCATTTCCGGGTGTTTAGCTAATTCGAAGAGAACGCAAATCATAGTAGAGATGCTGCTTTCGCGACCAGCCACAAAGAAGATCGCCGCTTGTGCAAGAAGAACATCCCCTTCGAACCCTAAAGAAAATATCAGTAAAAATAGATTTTTCTTCTAATATAGATTGCTAATATTGGAATGCCATTTATGCGTGTATGTGCGTGTTGTTTGTGCAGAGTGATGAAAAAGAAATATATGGTTGATTAGATCTCATTACAAATGTGTTACATAAATCCATTTTCCATTTTAATCATTGTATATGATAAACTTCAATTGCAAATGAAGATTTATTTATAATAAGGTTAAAAGAAAATTCGAAATTTTTAGTGTTAATACATTCGATTAATTTCATCTTATATATATATTAGATTTGCGAAAACTATTTTAGTTTGATAGTGGGATCTATATCATATTTAACGCTACATATATATATGTATACATATTTGGTACTTACGAACATTCATATTATCTGGCGTCTCAGTTTTTAATTGCAAAAGAGAATCAATTAGATCTCCTCGTTTTATTTTTGTGACGCTTCTATTGTCCATAGAGTCCCAAAAGACTTTACGGAAATAATCCGTGTATCTGCCAAGCATCGAACCACCTAAATAGTTTCCAATTGTCGGCAAGAAGAATAAGAAGAAGAACTGCAAAGCGCTTAGGATGGTTCGGACAAAAGCTTTACGTGCTACACAGAGAAACGAATAGAGTATACGTTGCAAAAAAAGTTCGATGTAGATGAAAAAGAGCGAAGTGTAATATATAGCATGTTTAAATTCATTACTTTATATTTATTATTTTACTTACAGTTGACATAAAACTCTGGTGACGGTGTGTCAAAGCAGTTTGTCCGAATTCCAAATGCCACGGAGGATATTACGTCGGTAGTATATTTATAGAATATATCTTTGACCTTTATCGGCTCGATTTTGGAATTGTCCTTAATTTGTTCGTGCAAATGGTCCCTCATCTTTTCCCCGGACTCTTGCATCAGCTGAAAGAGACTTTTCAGCTTGCCACTCGTGAACACCGGTGTCATTTTCGATCTGAACAAGAAATAGTCTCTAGCTGTAACATTTTCTAATTTATATACATGTCCTGATATATTTTATAGATGTCTTGATAGATCTTTATTAGATTACTTTTTCTTTTATTTTATATACTTCTTTTTTAATAACATTCTTCAACAGTCTATTTGCAAGATGATTTAATAATATATTCTTTCAAATGATTGTTGATCATGATTGATTATGATTCATGTAACGTATATTATGTACCTCAAATATTTCCATTCAGGATAACATATGGTGAAGAGACTCCATTTGCTGACAGTATCGGAATTGGCCCCTCTGAAATAATGATTCGGGAATATATTAAAGTCCTTGATCATTATCTGTTTTATCAGTTCGGGATTTCTTAGAATCAGGAACGGCTTATGTAGGATGTAGATCCCTAGGACATCTTCGTTCTCAGCTTGCTTGTGCAGTTCACTGAGAATCTCTCCAGCCGATCTGCGGAACAGCATCGCATCCTTGAAGTGACCGAAGAACCAATGTGCAGGTAACGTAGGTACACCATGTCTCTGCCAATAGGTATGCTTCCATTTCATCCATAAATAAAGCATCGCGAAAAGCGATGAGAATATCACAAGCGTGTCCAAAAGGGCGCATTCGTACAATATCGCCATTTTTATGCAAACCGCATGAAATCTTCTTCTGTAACTTTGTATAAAACTCAAGTTTAATTTTGAAATTTTGTAAACTTTGTACAAAAGTCTTTCCTTCATAAAATTTAAATTGTATAAGATTGTGCAAAACTGTATGCAAATTATGTATAAAATTCAGTAAAAAGACTCCGTACATACTTTCTAAAAGCTGTGTGTAGACCATTCCAGATATTGTGTGAGACTGCGTGTAATAAGTGAAGATGACACTGTATAACAGTATCAAAACAATTTGCAAAGTCATTTATCAGTAACGTGGATATTTATTTTCATCAGATTAGGTGTTATAAAAACAGAAATCTCACAACAGGAAAGAATGGGTAGAAAAAAGATTAGAAAATATTTTTGAATAATTCTCTAAAATATGGAAGTTCGAAGTTTGGTCATAAATTGAAGCTGTGATTAAAAAGTTATGTATTATAAATAAATTGCATATTAATGTTTGATCCCTGATAACAAAGAACGTCTCAGCAAAATCACGCAAATCTGTTTATAATATTGATAACTTATATATTCAACGATTTCGACATACATTGATCTTGAAACAATATGCAGACAAATTTGCATCCACATTTAAACAATATGCATCCAAATTTGTGCAATTATCGTTATATTGCGTAATTGTAAGGTAAAGTTATCTTGCGTTGTCAGCAATATGAATGACAGCATTGTGTGCTGGATTATGATAACATAACGATAATTGCACAAATTTAGATATTGATTTCAGAGTTCCCGGCAAGTTGACAAATTTAATTACTATTCAATCGTTATATTGTAAAGACATCGATTTGTCAACAAATCTATTGCTACAATACTGGTAACATCACATAATGATACAAGCAACATGTCAATAACAATATAAACTCATTGTTATCTGGAATTTTTATCCAGCGATATCTGATTGCGCAAGATGCATAGTCTCTCTCTTCCCTTCCCTCACTCATTATCATTATACAGGGTGTCCATGACATTTAAGGATAGATTCCTGAGATTATTTTGAAACAAATCCTAGTACCAAAATGTCGAGGCTATATTAATTTTGAAATTATAAGCATTTAAAGTTATCGAATCATACCGTTTAAAATTCGCGCGTTGAGGTATAATCTAAATGCAAAATATTAATCACATGATTTAAAAGTATCACGATATCTTTAAACGTTAGTTTTTACCGAACACTTTGTATATGTGATTTATATTAAAAAAGCAAAAATAAATTAAGACTAAAAAATTTAATGCGCTTTAATAGTTAACGCATCTTCACTTTTTATTGTAGTTCCATTTGTTATGTAATATCTTACGTATTCCGCGTCAAAAAGCTTGCATATTTGATAGTATAGTAAAATAGCAAATTATTTAATATGTTAAAGTCAATAATGCCGATGCATTTCTTTATTTCGATAAACTTGTTTTTACGTTGACACGCATTTGTGTGAACATAAACGTTATATACGTTTTATTAAGTTATTTTATTTTGTTAATGAGAAATTTTAACAAATACTGAAATCATTCTTTTGGGATAGATTATAACTGACTAATTGCTCGTGATCGTACTAACAATTATTTTCTTCGGAAATTCTTGATGTATTGATTCACTAATGAATCGCCTAATGAAGCGTGTTTCTTCACATTTCTTCTGCTTATTTGTTTTCTTTTGTTTGACCTTTTTATATCTCTATTTTTTTATTCCTCTTTTTTATTTATTTTCATAATAAATTACTTATTAATTTATTTTTTTCATAATAAAAATAAAATGAGTAAAAGAATAAATTAATAAAATAAAAAGAATAAAAATAAAATAAAATGAAGAATACGTGATTACTTGCCAACCTTTTAGTGCTACTGTGTAAGATATGATAATAAATGGAAAAATGTATCATTAAAGTGTTAATAAATTGCAAGAACAGGAAAAATTGATAAATACATCAGAAAGACTCATTACTGCGTACGAACGACACGTCAGTGACGTGAAGAAGAGTATTTTTATTTTTTTACAAAATCGACATTATTTCTTACAGTTTTGGAGACGGAGAATCCGATTCTACTTAAAATTATATCATATAACGGGAACAAAGAAAACGCTTTGCGTCGCATTCTTAAGATAGGTCGCTGCACTACTCGTGTATCGATAATAGAAAATGTGATAAATCATATTCTTATTTTAAAATATAGAATATTTTAAAAAAATGATACATTTGATAATAAAAGGCAAGGCTAAATCAGAGGCAGCGCAAAGTTATCGAGCATTTATAAAACATGTTCGAGGCGACATCCGTCTGTTGGGGGAAGCTATCTCTAACATGTTAGGCCATTTTTTAATTCATGGATTTATTTATAGAGCAGAGTCATATTGGCGCATAATGTGATTAACTGATAAATTAAAAAATTTGTCTGTATATTTCGATTCTGTAACTTAACGATAGCGTCGGTAGGTTATATTATTGTGCAGGTATTATGCATAGTAAAAAGCATGGCGGAACCGGAACTAAATGTAGTATTTTTATAAAATATTTTTAATATCAAAACATATTGTATCACATTATCTATTATCAATACGTATTATAGAGTAGCGCCCTGCTCATGAATGATCACAATGCCACGTTTTCCCTACTTTGAACTCAATTTTTTGTGTTTCCATCATGTGATGTAACTTCAACTAACACCATTGGATTCCTCTCGCTTCAAAAATTATAATTAAGAAATAACGTCAATTTTACAGAATTACTCTGCGAGTACAAAAATAGACGTTTTCATAAGATCTTCTTTAACCGACATCCGTCTTTATGTAAAACTAGATTGCGAAATTAATTCCGTCATTTCGGTTCTTATCACTCGTGACTCGTAACCATTAGTTATTATTCGTCGTTGAGTCGAACTTATTCATTTATTAGTTTAGCAAAAACGCCGCTATCTCATATTAGGCGTCTCTCTCATAATAGGAGACTTTCCTAATATTGAAGGCAAACATAAGTGAAAAACCGGTTGACTCGGATCAAGATCATCGGAGTTGTTTGTTGTCAATATTTACCAAACTTTTTAACGAAAATGACGCGTTCGTCACACTTTGACCCGAGAAAAAAATACGCTTTTTGCGCGAATGGCTTTTAGACGCATATTAACAGTCCGATTAAAAAGCTAAGCATCTTTATCGATAGTTGAAGCTTCAAACCTCCAGTCAATGGCAAGATACGTCCTTCCATGCCAAGAAAATTTTTAAAAATAATTCGTTATTTTCACAGTTATCTTTTCATGGGATAGAGAGAAATAAGAAAAAAGACACAATATTGCTTTAATTTTTCATTTTTACAGGAGGTACGTTACGAGTGCATTCAAGAAAACAAAGGAAAATGCTAGTATAAGTAAATATTATGATAAATTAGTTTACAAAAAATATTTCTTTAAATTATTTTGAATCAGATAAGGTATATTTTATAGATTTTTGGATCCTACGAATCAAATAATTCCATTAGCACGTCAGGTTTTTTAAATAATTGAGGTTTTATGTGCAAAAAATGGTTCTTGTGATATTTGCCTTTTTTTTTTATAAAAAGGTTTCTTGAAATAAAAAGATTATCTTGAAATTCTGATCAGAAATCATGAATGTTATTGTTTTTTATCCCATATAAACTGTATTTTTTAGTAAATATTTAGTATAATCCCACTTATGATTTTCCTGTTTTATGTGTATTCATACCACATGGTACATAGAATATATATCAGGAAAAAGAAATCGTCGCACAAGTTCCGTTTTTTTTTATTTCAAAGCTTTTTTATGTCCACATAAAAAGTAAAAAGAATATTTAATTACGATTTATCTATTATCTATCCGTTGAATTACAAACTACTTATTATCTGTCTAATTATACCTATTAACTACTTATCATCCCTTTCTTATTTCAATATATTATTTTTTAATCCTGTTATGAAGACATAATTGCAAGTTTTTTCTAAAATACAATTACTACC